TATTTATATCTTAAAATATTATTTGATAAAGTATAATAATAACAAAATATTATAATAAGATAATTGCAATTTAAAAGAAGAAGAAAGTGAAACACTATATTGCACAAGTATAACAGATGAAGAATTGTCATTTGATAGTATATGGCTAAAAAAATGTTTAAAATTGCCATTAAAGATGGCGATAAAAGAAATTATATCAAAGAAACCTTATGATCCTGTTGGTTATCTTGGATTTTGGTTATTAGATTATAGAAAATTTCAAGAACGTAATCAATGGCAATTAGAGAAAGATAATGAGCTACATTATCTCCGATCTTTAATCAAGGAAGAACCAGTATATTTTCTATATTTATTTAGTGATTTTTATATTTTATTTTATATTTTATTATTTTTTTAACTTATATTTAGATATATTTATTAAGCATGTTAAAAATATATTAAGATATACTTATAAATTTTGTAAACTATTATAAATTATAATATCATTATTTTTTTCTTATTAATAATAAATAAAAACAAATCTCATATAAATAAGAGAAAAAGAAAGATAGTTTAAAATAATGTTTCAGATACCTAAAGAAGAAAAAGTTTCAATAGATAGAAGAGAAGAAGAAGAAGAGGAAATGCATGATTGGAATTTTAAACATTACGAGACTATATTGAAATAAAATTATAATAAAAAAGTTACTTTATCATTTTATAATCTTTATTATCATTTTTATCACTTATAAAATAATAATATTAATATATTTCGATATTAATTAAATTATACAAAAGTAAATTTTCATTATAGATAATGAAATTAATAATTTGATTATTAAAATAATAAAATATTAATTGCAATTAAAAAGAATAATAGGAAGTTTTAAAGATACATTTTTATATCATATCATTGATATGAAATTTTATTTATTTTTCTATATCTATTCATTTTATAATAATATATACTTTTGTATTAACAGGTCACTGTCTGACCATATGATAGTGTTTATCCCTTCGATCGACAGAACAATCCCTTTAAATCTCAATATATCTTTCCTAGATGTCTCGACATTCGACTGTTCAGGAAATCGCATTCGTATAGTCTCGTGTATTTCCGTCGTCGGGTCGCGGTTCCCATGCGAAATTGTGCTCAGTTCGAATCGCGCAGCCGCCCCCATAGTTTGGTGCGCGGTTAATCGAAAAAATGCACTAAATCGCGAGTTTGGATGGAAAGAAAACATTTCGATTTTGTGCGATCAACATTGCTCCAGATATAATGAGAATTGGCTAACAAGAGAATGACGTTAGCATATCTCGATGCGAATGATATAGCGAAAGTCGCCTTGAGTGCGATTCGATTGTTATTGACGCAAGGGTTGGTTGCGCGGCCATGCCAGTTGTTGGGTCAATGGCTTAGCCGTCAGATGGCGCGGTATTCGTTTCGGTCCACCCTGCCTGCGCTGGAATGCCCTCAGCGAGGAGCTTGTCGACGCTGCCGTCTTTCGTGGAGGTTTTTTCCACGCCACGATCAGGTGACTGGGCCAAAAACCTTTTTAAACCCTATCAGCCGTTTCCTAATCACTAAGGAACATTTGTGAATAGATGTGTAATTTGGGAAATGGATATGTGAACGCGCCAGCCGGGTGGTCCACTTTACGCGTACGGAGGTGCTGTGTTGTGTTGTGCACCAGAAGGCGGTTCCAGTGCACTCTACTTGATCGTATCTCATCATTTTATCGTTCGACAGTGTGATTATGTTCAAGATCCTGTGTTACTTATTTCAAAGCTGTGTTATGATCGACGATTATTAGCTAAGAGAAGAAGACGAGGACGCGGCGGGCGACCGAGTTAAAGCAGAACACGGGAGTGTCGTCCACCATTTTGGCTGCGCGAGGTTATTCGATGTGTGCACCATTCTCATCGCACGTTCGTTGTTTTCGTGCTTTGCATCACATCAAATCATTCACGATGCTTATCGAATTATCTTGTGAATCGGGGAACAATTGGAAATAGTGTGTGAAAAAATAATTGTAATAAGATGATCTCCTAAAATCGACGCTAAATGGAGCAAGGCGAGGGCTGTTTTCCTCGTCGCAATCTCGATGCTGTCAGCTGGTCATCGAGTGGCAATGCTGGGAATTAACTGAGGTCGTGGAATTCAATTATTGTGTGATCGGTACGTGTTACGAGTGATCATAATATTGAAAAAAATATCGTGGATCTAGAAAGTAAACCACAGTGGAATAAAACGATGTCGCTTGAAAGTGGGTTACTATAAGTGCCGTCCCTGCTACTGATGAAAAGCGACATTCACTTTAGGATATCCTGTGCTTCGTTATTGTCATTTATACTTGATTTTGTTGTATTTCTCGATACTAATGAATTTGTGAGATCGTTTCGGGATTGCAGCTGATCGCATACGACGTGTTCGAGGTGGCAAACTGTATGGAGCATCTCGAGTGCCATTAACCTCGTTTCGTGGCCACCTCGCGGCGAAACGACTCCCATTCCGTGATTTTTCTGCGGACTTATGTTCTCGAGGCCCGCATTTTAACGGAATGGGAAATGGGCGCCGTGATTAATGATGAGGAATCTGCGGTGGGACGAGTCTTGGAATTGTGGGATTTGGACACGATCTGTATGGTAAATTCTCTGTGTTAAAACGCGGGAAACGATGAAGACATTCGCGTTACTTGCGGATTCATATCGAACTGCGCGCGTGTTACGACTGTAAGACGATAAAAAGAAGCGTATTATCATTTTAGTGTTCTTAACGATTTTTTTTTTCTTTTGATCATAATGATCAAATATACATGGATGGTGCTACTATGCATGGTGAAATACTGTTTTAGGTAGGAATAAACAGTGACGGAAGGAATGGTGAGGAAGGAAGGAGGATAGAATGAACTTATTGTATCGCTGACACGGATGAAACGAAACAACACGATGGAAACGAAGTGACTATACTTTTTTTTTTTTTCTCTTGATCTCCTGGATGGGTTCTCCCATCGGCATAGTTTTAGATGTATCGTGCGATTATTCAACTGAAGTGAACTGGTTCGGTGTGCTCTCTCTCTCGATCAGTGTTCCGTGTGTGTGTAGCGTTTTTGCAGCTGTTTTGACGAGGATTACGTGTGCTGTGCACGTTACTCCAATCCATCAGAGACATGTGAGTAATATGTTATCAGAATTTCTTTTTTTCCGTTGTCTTGATAACACTTTCAATGGATACATTGCTAAATATAATTAAAGGATTACTTAGTCAAATATTTCCCGGTTGATACTTCGGATATTTTATTTTTCATTTTTTTGATACATGAAATACTTACATGAAATATTGTAAAAATTTATGACATATAATATATCAATAAATTAAATTTGTAATTTATTCGAATATATTCTCGTAAATTATAAAGCTTTTTTTTTATATATCTACCAATATGGAATTACGCAATAAATTAATAGATTTTTTATTTTTATTAATAAGTAAATAATTAATTTATTTATTAAATGGTTAATTGCATAATTCGGTATTATTAGATGTATAAAAAAATATGTTTATAATTTGGGAGAATATATTCGAATAAATTACAAACTTAATTTATTAAATTAAAATAATGAGTTTTTATACAAAAGCAAAACTATTCTTACACAATAAATTGAACAAGAAAAAAATAATGGATATTAAAGAAAAATGATACAATCATGTAACAGAAGAATAGAACACAATTATTAACAAAAAATAGTTTTTAATATGTTAATTTTACTCTTGTTCAAAAATATAAACAAAAGTAATATTCACTCAAATATTCATAAATTTTTATGAAAAATTATTATTTTATTTTTTTTAGAATTAACAATTAAATTTTTTAATTGTCTTTATAGTTTATTTTAAAATTTTGTAAAGTGAAAATTCATATTTTTTTCATCATTTTTTTTAATATTTGTGATTTGTATTGAATTGAACAATTTTTATTTTCTAATTTTGTTGTCTTATTAATATTTATTTTAAAATCAAAGTTTAGAGTACTAGTAACTAGTATCAGAATATTTTTTTTTTGATATATTACATATTTATAGCAATTAAATAATATCGATAAGTATAAATACGTGATTCAGTGATGATCTAAATTCGTTTTTATATTATATAAAGTTAAATTGTTTAATATCAGATGTTTTTTTAAATTTATCATGATATATTTGTATTTTTAATATTTGTAAATTTAATATTTGTAAATTTTATAAAGAATTTCATTTTAATTTTTAATCGATATTTTTGAATAGCTGATTATAATTATAATATATATTTATAGTTAATTATAATTATAATAGCTTGGATTAAATTTGAATTAATTTATATAAAGTTATATAAAGTTAATATAAAGTTATTTAATTCTATTTCTTATTTATATTGTATATGTCAAATGATAGAAGATCTTTATCATGTAAAATTAAAACGAAATATTGTAAAAATAAATAATTTGAACTAATCATTATGAACTATTATTTAATAATTTTAATTAAAAATAAGTGAGAACAGAATAAATCAAATTATAATAAATTATAGTTAAATTGAGTTGTAGAAGAAAAACGAAATATAGTAAGGGAATTTCAAAGGGAAATAATCTGTTTAAGATCAGACATATGATAAGTTGAAAACTTATTGAAAGTTTTGCCATTTTTTTTTTTGGATTATTTTTTTCACAATTCTACATCTCACTACTTCTACATATAATTATCAAATGTTACATATCATTACATTCATCATTTATTTATTTTTAGAATATTATATGAGAGTTGTAAAAGTATTAAATATGATTTTCAGAAATACACATTGCATTAATCAAAATATTTGAAAATTAAAAATAAAAAGTTTCGTTTCATTTATCATAATTTATTTATAGATTATTTACATTATCAAGTTTTTCACAATTTGAAAAATAATATGCTTTAAAAATAAATCAAATTTTGTATTCTAATTTTTTTTAAAAATGAAGAAAAATTACATAACATGTATCTGGAAATTTTTTCTTTTGAAAATATAAATAATTTTTTGTTCACTTTTCAAAATTTTATATGAAGTATCATATAAATAAACTCATTATATGTAGAATTACAAGGTAATACTTTACTTTGTTAGAAATAAATACTGTAACAGAGTAAATTTTCTCTTAATATTAAAGAAAACTTATGCTTATTAATAGTAAATTTATTTTTATCTAGAAATTTGATAATTTAGTTTTATTAGGATGATTTATTCTAATATTGAATGAAAAAATATTCATTTTATACAAGATCAAAAAATAATAGAGAATATCAATGTGATATTTATTATTCCAAAAGATCACATAAAGTTTTTATATATCAAAAAGAAAGAACTTTTTATATCTTTTTTTTATCTTTCAAGAATAGAATACAGCATTAAAATTTGACTATCTATTCTCTTATTTTAAATAGAAAATTATATTATCAAATAAAATCATATATCAGTAATATAAGATGAAAGATCTTAATCTTCTATGAGATTTGATATTTTAATGCAAAATAATTTCGATTTATTATAATTCTTATATAGTATAACAAAGAATTAAAAATACTTACAATAATTACAGAAAGTATTTGCATTTGTTCTTATTTTCCAAAAAGTATTTCTTTAATAATATTCTATATTTCATTTCCAAAGTAAATTTTTATATAGTTATGTAAAAATATATCAATAAAGTATATGAAATACAATATAACCTGACTCTTATATGAACACTTATTATACAGTACATCAACATAATATAAGATAAAAATCAGATATAACAATGTTTTGCAAATACTTTTCATAGTGACACAGTATTTTTATTTAAAAATTAATTTTTATAACAATTTAATGATCTTTCCTTACCGGCACCGGGTGTCTTCGAATGCTCGCCAAAATGTGAAAAAAAAAAACTTGTTTAAAAACTTTTCCGCCATTATCCCCAACCCATACTCGCCAAACATTGAAATATGCATGGGGGAAAAAAAGTTTATACCAGACTATCCATGTGGAAACAGCCGTCCATGCACTCTTTACATAAAGTGTTTCTCTGTTGCGGGAGTTGAGGCAGTTGTTACTCCTTTATGAACGCGGATGGCTTTTATAGAACAACTTCCGCGTATTGTCTTCTTCATAATGTAACGATGGAAATGTTCTCGCGGAAAGACTCTTTAATAAAATGCCCGTTTATCGCCGCTTTGCTGAACCTTCGTTTGTCGTTGTCCTCGCGACATCCGCCGACGCGGTCGTACATTGAAAGTTTAATGTGAAATCATCGAACATGGAAAGTTGGCGGCATTCCAGTTCCTCCTACCGTCTCTCAAATCCTCTCCCCTACAACCCTTTATACAGTACCGGTTCACGTAACACGTGTTCAACTGTGTATGTGACATACGTTGCGGGATGCAAAAAATATCAATTATTATATTATTCAATATTATAATATTTCAAATTGTTTTAATTTAAAAAGAATGTTTATATAATTTAAAAAGAATGTTTTTATATTATATATACAGAGAATTTTTTTTATAATAACATTAAATTCTGAAAATACAAATTAATGTAATAAATTAATATAAATGGATAATAATAAAAAGGATATGAAGTAAAATTATATTTTCTATTCAGTTGTAAAATGTGTTAAATGATTAAAGAAATGATAACTTATTTTCACGTTTTATAGTCGATTGTAGCAAGTTAAATAACTTTATCTAGTTATCTGAGTTTGATACTATTCGCAACGAAAAATTTAGGTTTACTTTCAAAAGATAATAATTAAAGAAAGAAGGCTATAATGAGATTTACATGCATGTTATAGGAAGATCTTTCAACAAAGCAAATTTCTTCTTCAGAAATTCACTTAAGATTGCTATTATTCAGAAAGTATTAAGAATATAACAAGTGGCATGTAGAAGTTTGCAACAGATTTGCATTACTTTTTTTCTGATAGAAGTTTTGAACCAAAGTTGGGAAGTTTTACGTTTTGCATAAAGTGTTTTCAAATTTCCTCCCAAAAGATACACTGAAATTTTTTGAACCTAATTTTCATAAATAGCATGAATTTGTGAAAAATTTGTATCGCAATTTTTTTTTCTTTTTTATAATTATATTCATTTAAATGAGTTTAATAAATTGACAAGTATATTCAGAACGTTCAGAACTGAAAATTACAGAAAAATGTGATACATTTATTTGTCTTGCTTTTTTTTACTATTATTACTTGATGTCTAGAAGGATATATTAATGTAATGTTAATTGGAAAGAGATATAATCAATTAGATTATTTAAAAATTTATTTAATTTCAAAATAAGAAAATTAAATAAATATAAGAAATAAGAAATTAAATAAAAAATAATAAATATATATATGTTTGATATAATTATAAAAGAAATGAGAAATTTAATTGCCAATTTATTATTTGCATGACACATTTGCAGATTGATAGTTTTTTATATCGTGTCCCTTCATTAGGGCGAATTTTTCTAGGACGAATATTTTTTTGATTAACAATGAAATTAATTGCAGGAAATAATTAAGTTCTAATTACGAGGTTTTCAGATTTTAATAATTTCATTTGCGATATATATTAGCACTCTTTTAATAATTTTTTGTAAGTATTCTTTGTAGTGGAAGAATAATTGATGTCTATTTAAAGATACAATTGTATTTTATAATATTGTTTAACTTCTTTTTGAGGATATTTATTAGCAGAAAAATCTCTTGATTCAATTGGCTGACCTACTTTAATGTTAACTACTGTATTCATTGCATTGCTCATTTGTCCTTGTTAATTGTTAATTTTTTGATTTGATTATTTTTAATAATTATGGATTGAATTTATGAAAAATTATTGTATAATTATTGATAAATTTTTTATCAATAAAGTTTTTTTTGATATTTTTTTCTTCGTATTTCACAATGGTAATAAAATTAAATTGATTGATTTTTAAATTTTTTAATAATTTTTATCACTTTGCGCTTATTCCATTCTTTTTCAATATATATATTTATTATATTGCAATAAATTATGGGCAAATTGTAAAAAATTGGATATCTGTAAAATTCAAGAAAATATAATTATTTTGATATCTAAAAGAATTTCATAAAAATAATGTTTGAAGAAAGCTATATTAAAAATATA